GACTGGCTTGTGGAGGCTGACACATCACAACTCGAGACATCAGACACCAAATACCAATGATCTGATTTAAAAGATGAACAACAACAACAACAAAAATACAAACAGTTCTCTGAAATAAAGGACCCAGGAGTCAGCCTGATGGGCATATGCCCCTCTGTAGGAAAACACATTGGAAGCCCAATCAGGCTGCAGGTAACGTTACTGGTACATCCACCACCACAACAGCAAGGTCCCCTCAGGAGTGTGTGGACTGGATATACCTGCCTTCAGCCCCGTGGCCTGTCACATTCTTTCCTTACACACAGTTAATACCATTTACTCATCAGAGGCTTTACATGTGCTAATTGAGGTTCCTGAGGCTATACCTTGATCTCAGAACAAGAAGAATCTTAATCATCTGTTACACTTTAATTTCCTATTACAGTAAAATATATAGTAACTGCCTCACTGCCCTTCTGCCTTACCTGAAAAACCTCTTGTAGGGCCAATGCAAGTCGAAAACGTAATCACTGTTAATTTCAATGGGAAAACATTTTATACGTTTCAAGTCCCCAAACTGACATCCATTCATGTGAAAACACCAGATCTCTTTAAGACGGACACAATTACATCAATAATTAACATTGGTTATCATAAACACATAAAGGCATTTTCTCTTCATTAATTATTACTAATTACACTGTTATTCTATAATATGGCCATTTACCTGTGGTTTCTTAGCTTTTATGCCCTGTACTATTTAAGAGTAAATTTATAACAAAACATACATACAAACGATACCCAATATTTATAAACTTTTATTTTTAACAAGAGAAATAAAATCAATGAAAACCATGCAAATGATATCACCTTTATTGAACAGTTGAAATAAAAGAGACATGATGTAAGATTATCCCTGCTATATTTAAGCAAAATACTAAGAAATGTGATGGGAGAACCTAAGGTAACATGGGCCAGCTATGTGAAGATGATACACGGTGACTCTCTTCTTCAGCTCTAAGAATTACACCAAGTAAATCCAACCTGATAGATGCAAAGAAATGCCTTGGGTATCAGTTATCTTTCATTGCAAAACAAACCACCTCAAAACTTATTGGTTTAACTTTAAAACAATAAACCTAATTTTTCACTGGTCTATGGGTTTGTCGATGGGCTTCTTCTGGTCTGGGCCAACAAAGCTGGGCCTAGATGGTCTACAATGGCCTGGCTCACATGTCTGATGGTTGGCAGGCTAGTTGGTCTAAGGAGCCACACTCATATGTCTGGCAGTTGCTTAGATGTCAGTTGGGGTGATGACCACATGTCTTTCATCATTCATCAGGTTAGCCACGAGTTTTTCACAAGGTGGTGGAAGAATTCTCAGCAGCAAGAGAGAGCAGGCCATAATTGTAAGCACTTTTTAAGACTTCTAGTATCAGAAGACTGCTAATATCCCATAGAACAAAGCAAGTCACATAGCCAAGCCTAGATTCATAAAATGGAGAAACAGACTCCACCTCTCGATGGGAGAAGCTGAAAATACTATGGCTATTCTGTTCAATGTACCACACCTTGGAAGCCAAAGTAGCGAGATTAAATGATATTCCTTGTAACCAGAATGGGTGAATATCTCAGGATTTAAACACATTACTATGAAAGGGGAGGGGGGTGTTTCTGTTTCAACTACTGAGGTTATCTAGTAAGGCTGCCCTCTTGGGTCCTCTACTACATGTGAGGCAAGGAAATAAAACCAAAGAGGAAGGGAGAGGCTAGGGCTCTGCAGGCCACATGATGGAATTTAGGTCTTGATCCCAAGAGTAATGGGAAGCCATAGAGCATTTTAAGGAGAGAGATAAGATCACTTGGGCTGCAATGAGGGCAGTAATTCTAGAAGCTTTGCCAGGAAGGGGAATCTTGAGATAAGGCTTTAGTCACAGAATATGGGGTCAAAGGAAAGAGGTTTTTTTGTTTTTGTTTTTTCAAAGCAAAAGATGGTTGAAACTGATGGAAGGATCCAATACTGCAAGAGGTTAAAGGGAGAACCCTGAGAATTGGGAAAGGAAACTTAAGCATGCATGGAAAGTTTGGTTTAAAAAAAATTATCATACAATAAAACTGATTGTATTTTTCTTATACAGTTCTATGGATTTTAACACATGTATAGACTAATGTAACTACCACCACAGTCAGAATACAGAAGAGTTCCATCACCCCCAAACCCTTCTTTTTGCTATCCCTTTATAGTCACTCCTCCAACCCTAATTCCTGGCAACCACTGACTTATTCTCCATCACTATAGTTTTAATATTTTCAAGATTTTCATTTTGAGACTAGCTTCCTTCATTTAGCATAATGCCTTTATTGTTATGTTGTTATAACACCAAGTTGTTGGGTGTATCAATACTTCTTTCCTTTTTATTGCTAAGTAGTATTCCATTGGGGTCAGCTTCTGATAGAATTCCTCAGGTAGTAGTGATATCACTATTCTACCAGTTACTTGGGGCAAAAACCTTGATCACCCTTGACTCTCTTCTCTAACCTATACATAATCCATTAGTAAATCCTGTGGCTTTACTTTCAAAATACACCCGAAATCTGACCAGTTCTTACCACCTCCAATGCTGTCATCTAGTTCAGGCCACCATCATCTTCTGCCAGGACTAGTGCTTCCACTCTTACTTCGCTACCCTCATTGTCTATTCTCCATACGACAGCTAGAATGAAACATTTATTTTTTCATTTATTTATTTTTGGCCACGTGGCATGCGGGATCTTAGTTCCCCAACTGGGGATCAAACCCATGCCCCCTGAAGTGGAAGCTCAGAGCCCTAACCACTGGACTGCCAGGGAATTCCCTCAAATGAAACTTTTAGAGACTTAAATCTGATCAAGTTAGTCTTGTGCTCAAAACTCTTCAGTGGTTTAAGTGGTAACAATCCGAAGTTGTCACCATGGCCTACAAAGTCCCACATGACTGGACCCCTGGCTACCTCTCTGATGTCATCTCCTACCACTCTTCCCCCACTCACTCTGTATCAGCTATAGTGGTCTCCTTGCTAATTCTATAGCATGTCAAGCATGCTCCTGCCTCAGAGCATTTGAATTTGCTGTCTCCTCTGTCTGGAACATGCTTTCCCTAGTTATCCACATGGCTTACCCCCATCAAGTCAGTTCCAGTTTCTGCTTAAGTGTCCCTTATCAATGAGTCTTTCTCTGACTAATGTCTAAAATAGCAGCCACCTGAGACCAATGTCTAACCCTTACCCTGCTTTGTTCTTCTTAGAATACATATATATATATATATATATATATATATATATACATATGTATAAAATCAAATATATATGTATTGTTTTTCTGTCTCCCCACATTAGGAAGATCCTTGAAGACAAGGAATTTTTTTGTTTATTGCTGAACAAGCACCTAGATGAGTACATGAGTGCCTCATCTAGCATACAGTGGGAGTTCAATGAATTTTTTTTTTTTGGCCGCACCGCACAGCATGAAGGATCTTAGTTCCCCGACCAGGGATGGAACCCGTGCCCTCTGCAGTGGAAGCATGGATTCTGAACCACTGGACTGCCAGCAAAGTCCCTCAATGAATAGTTTTGATTGAGTAACTTATAGGAGGAAAGGACAGATGGGAACATATGTAGATTTCTAGATTTTAGGGCATTCTACATTTTCTATTACTTATACAGTAAGATAATCAGGGGAAGGGGTACAGGAAGCATAGGGGATTAGCGACTTGCCGATAGTGGAGAGCAGGTTAACTAGGAAAATATAATGAAATTTCCAGACACTGTTCAAAGCCCATTTAAGGCTGACATTATTATATTTAGTGATGCCAATCTATTCAGCAGCACAATTTACTATG